AAGAAACACTTTCAGCGTTATGGAATTTTGCAGCAAAGGACAGGAAAAGGAGCACCGTCATATGGAACTAAATGCTGCCTGGTCAAAAAGAAAAATAAGACTTTCTACAATTGCCACAGCGTAATGCGGTCTAGGGCATCAAGCAGATTGGTATGTTTTTAACAGCACTGATGATGCACATTTGAGATTCTACTATTAATTCTGTTATGTGGTATTTTGTTTTATTGATAAGTGTAAGGAATGGTTATCAAACTTGGGAATGACTGAAAACTCTGTGGGGCAGCTAATACAGAAGCAAAATTCAAAATCATCATGAGAAATTAGAAGTTAGGTTTAAAACAATGTGGCATTTAAGAGAAATGAATGAAAGTTTTTATTTAGGAAATAGAAAGCAAATACACAGGTACAGGATGGAGGATACCTGTATTGGTAATAGTACTTGTGAAAAGGATTAATATGAATGAGCAGTGTGACATGGCTGTTAAAAAGGGAAATACAATTTTAGAAATTTCCCAATCAATGGGAGGGAATAATAGTTCCAGTACATTTTACCTTTGTCAGGCTCCAGCTTGAGTAGTGTGCTTAATACTATGCACAATACTTTGCACAATACTATGCACAATACTTTGAGAAGCTAATACAGGAAAAGGACAACAAGGAGGATCAGGGGTTCATACTCAGTCTTGTGAGGAGAAAAAGAGATCTGGGTCTGTTTAGCCTTGAGAAAAGTTGGCTAAGACAGGACATGGCACCACTTGTTAACAACCTCAATGAGTGTCACACTGAAGATCCAGAAAGTTTTTCATTGCCACTGAACAAAGGGCATGGATAATGTTCTTAAGCTGAATGTGAGAAAAGCTTCCTAAGAGTAAGAGCAATTTGATGGTGGATCTCATTACCCAGAGCGGCTTTCCTTCCTTGGAGATGTTGAGGAAGAATAGAGAGCTGTCTGTTTGGGATGCTTTAATTTGAGAAGTGGGACCCAGCAGCCTAAATGACTTATTCTGACTCTCTGATTCCATAATGCAAGTAACATAAAAACAATAAATCCATATATTACATGTAAGGAGCTAAGATTAAAACTTCAAAACTAACTGCTTCCTGCGGCCCTTTTTAAAAGCAACCTATTCATTTGTTTCTGGTTTCCCAGATCACCATCAGCCTTTGGTTGATAATGATGTATTCATTTGTTTCTGGATATTTGCTATCAACAATTCAGATGAGGATCTCAGCCCAATAATTTTTTGTTTTTAAAAATATCTAGATAAGCCAATAACGTAATTTTCAGAGAACTGTGTGATATTGTCCAGCCTCCAGACTAGGAAACCAAAATCATGAATGCTAATACTACTTTTATCTGACCATTGTCTTGGTAGCAACTCTTCCTCCTGTTCCTCAGGGTTATTCTTTTTTCTCAACATACTTATACATCCACTATAGAATTCACTTCCAGCATTTTGCAGTGTTTTATTTTATTTACTAAAATTTGTATGCCACTCCAGTCAATGACTCTGGGTGGCTCACAACTGCTTAAACCCAAGATCCACAATTAATAAAAACAATGCATTTACAGAGTTTTATGAGATGAGCGGTGACAAATTTGATGAATGAATGAATGAATAAATAAATAAATAATGCATAACAAAAATAGTAAAATCAACAGGGCTAATATGATTAATATCAATGAAAATTGCAATTCTGTCTAACTCCTAAATATTTGCTGTTAAAATTTTTGCTGGGGTGAGGGTATTCTTCAATGACAATATATTATAATTAAAGGTAATATTTGGACTTGTTTAAGAATTTCTTCCCAAATATATGGTTTTTTAAGACAGCATATTATAAAGGTTGCTGGTAGAATATGGGAACAGAATTTATAAACAGTACTGCTTCTGATTTAATTTAGAACCACATATAAATCCAGTGTTTCTGTTTGTGAAGATAGTTATTATGTTGTGTTGCCAACTGTTGATTTGGTGTGAGTTACACTATGTTCTATAGCTACGTAGTAGTGCTCAATTTGGCTTATTAATTATCACTGCTAGCCAGATACATTACAAAAATTGGTAGGATACAGATTAGCCAAACTTCACATGAATTTTCTGAAGTATACCTGATCAGGAATGATCTTAAGAAAGGAAATTTGTTTGCGTATTTCTGAGCTTTGTTGATTGTTAAGCAGAACAATTAAGCAGAAGCAATGCACTTGTCACTTTGGCCAAAGTCTATGTCTTGTGGTTGAAACATAGGACCAGTTGAATTCACATGGGCATAGGACTGCAATCTTATGAATTTTCATAGGCACAAGGTTTTAGATATTTAAAACTTAGACAAATTACTATAATTCATCTCTTCTTTTTCTGGGTAAACTTGAATGTGAAGATACTTGGCATGGAGCCATGTATCCAGTAAATGATAGGCTGTAGATCTGGTATTTTTTGTTTGTTTGTTTCTTTGTTTTTCCATACTACTTCCTGTCAAAAAATAGCTGGGTTTTTGATTGCGACAAAATGTATTGCTGTGGAAGGTCTTCCAAGGACTGGAATTTGTGGAGGCTGCATGACTGAATCATAGACACCTACTTCTTGCTTGCATTAAGATAGACAAGTTGCAAACAAGTTAACTGCTGGGGAAGAACCTTACTACATTAATCACATGGGAAGATATTCCTTGTGTACCCAGTGTGGGTGTGTCAAGATTGTGCTGGTTCTCCTTGTTTTTCAATTAAGTGTGAATGGCTTTGTGGAAAAGTCAAATCCATATTAATCTGTTCTTTCCGTCTTAGTTGCTGATATTATTTCAAGAAACAGACTGCTCAGAAGAGAACACTATATTTATGAGTTTTGCTCCTGGATGAAATGGGTATTTTCTTGTGGCCTTGGTTCTGTCAGAATCCCACAGAGTAATTCTCTAACAGTGACTTAAGACGCAAGCAGTTTGAGAGCAAAAAGCCTGTGATGGTTGCTTAACATCAGCATTCATCAGAAAAGTCTGATGAGTTTTTAAATCATATTTAATTTATAGAACATTTCTGATAGTTGCAATGTAACCAAGTTTTTTCTTTTTTTTGAGCAATCTACCAGTGATATTGACCCCCCCCCCAAAAAAACCAAAGAAAAGTCCCAACAAAAAAATGTTAAGACATAATGGACAAAGGCACTAGTACTTTTCAGCATAATCTTTGTGTGTCCAGTCCAATGTGAAATGTGTAAGCAGCCTCTCCCCTCTCTTACTTTTGCTGAAGAGGCAGCCTCCAAAATACTTACACCAAAATTATCTGTAGTAGTGAGCCTATCCCTAAACCCAAATGCTTCTTCATGATATATGGAACCATCAGAATACAGGTTTCTCCATGGATATGGATGCATTTATATGACTGAAGACTTCCCACTGCAGACAGTCTTGGTATAATTGTGGGATCCATATATTCACCAGTGTAGCCAGGAAATGAAAGGAGCTGCTCATCTTTCTTCTCACACTGAGTGAAGGATATGTTTAAATGGGGATAGGGCTAATAAGGGCATGGATTGCAACTTGGGAGTGAGTGTCTTATTCCAACAAAGGCTGGAGATTCTGTCCCCAGAACACTCTTCCCAAGCTCTGCCCCCTAGAATAGAGAAGCTTAAGGTGTTAAATATATGGCTTGGGGACAGGTGTTATTTCTCTATTAAGAGGTCTCCTGAGTCTGTTTCCCTGTACTGTTGGACATCTGTTCTTCAGAGGGAGGCACCTGGTTCCTCAATTCTGAGAAAGCTACTTGCTCTGATCTTGTGGATCCTTTGGTAGAGTTACTGGTGGATCCTTTGGTAGAGATCCTGGTTGCAGGAGCCTGCCTACCACTTCAGCTAATAATACAGCAGCCTCAGAGATCTCATTTCCTTCCATATGCCCCAAAACAATTGGTGTACTGAAGGATGCCTTATGCACATAACTTTCTTCCATTTCATCATTATGGTTTAATTTTTAAACAATGTTCTAGGCTTAATTCATTGTTTAAAAATGGAATCATAATGATGAAATGGAAGAAAGTTATATAAATATAGCGTGAATATATTCTGCTTCCTTTCTGATACTAGAAGAGACACATCCTTGACAGAAGACATAGAGAATATGTTTTTCTAGGGCAAAAAACAGTCATTAATGACCACTGCTGTAGTTCTGGCCATTTCTATGAACCTATTTTCATGAACTATCATATAATTAAACTATCTGCAATGAACTATCAAACCGATTAAATATATTTCTAATATGAAAAAAGTATCAACCATATATACAAAATTAAAAACACTGTGTAGAAAAATGTAGTTTTAGATCTTTTGACAAGCGTTTCATGCAAAAGCTAACAAATGTAAACATATTTCAAATTGTCCAGTAGAGGGAACCATTAAACCTTATACATCCACGTTTTTGGAAATGAACTGTTAATTCAGTTGGAACAGATGAAATTTAATTTCAAAAATTCTAATCTAGTTGACTTAGTATGCACTGAATATCAATACAGTTTAAATACCAACAGAGTGGGGTAGGGCAGATTTCCATTCCACATAACAGAGGATTGCAACAAAGATGAATGCTTAAAATAAAGATAAAGTTATGTGTTATCTTCAAATACGAAAAATGAATCTAACCAAAGCACACAGCGCACTCTAACTGTAAATTGTACAGATTACAAAGCATTGTAACAACCATTAGAAAATCCACCATGTATTAAAGCAGTTTTGAAAATGATTTGGAAGATGTTTTAGCCCTTGCACAACATGGCATCGTCCAATGGACTGTTATGGGCAATGTACCATTAGAGCAGAGTTTCTCAACCTTCGCAATTTTAAAATGTGTAAAATTCAACTCACAGAATTCCTCAGCCAACATTGCATTAGAGGTATCAGATTCTCTGTTCTGTTGCAACTCTGGGGAGAGCAGTGGGAACCATGTCTGTTATAAAGTAATCTTCCTAATGCAAGGTTCTATTGTTGATTAATTTCTCCTCTTTTTATAGGCCTCAGAGCCAGCTGACAACTGCACAAGTGAAGGAGAGATTGAAGACCAGAATTCTTCAGTCCCAGATATATTAGAGTTGGAGATTCGTGGATCAGGCCAGGAAACAGATGAAGACTATTTTGAGACCCAATCACATCAAAGTGAATCACTGTCAGACATCAAGACAGAGCCTTATGAAAGTGTGTCAGACTCAGAGTCCATTGGCAGTGATGTCACTAGAGAAACCAACCTTTCTTCAGAAATAGAAGAGTCATGGCATAAGCATTCTGACACCAAAGGAGACAGTTCTCCTCCCAAGTGTTTCACAAAACAGTTGGGATTTATTCAGAAGGAAACCATGGAATTCCCTTCAGTCTTACATGTAGCAACAGGCAAAGGTGCATTGGAATTATTGGCACCAGAATCCAGAATTGAAGGCATCAAAAGAAACGAGCAGGTTTTACCATACAGTATTACCCCCACAGGGTCAAAAGCTGATAAAAAGGACTTTGTGTTACAGACTGAAGCTTTGCTAAAAGTGGGGAAAAAATCTGCAGACAGAGAGGCACATTCAGAAGATCAAATTGAAGGTGCTAGTAACAAAGAGAGAATGAGCCCAGAAGCTGTGTTGGTTCATCTCAGAACAAATTCTGAAAGTTGTTTGAATTTTTCTGAAACTTGGTATTCCTGCTCAGAAACAGTTTTCAGAAACAGTTTGCCTAATATTCATTTAGAAACAAATGGAATTTGGAAAAGAAATTGTGAAACTTCCAAAGTTAGGTGTAAAAAAGATTGTATATCTAATACCAAGTATAACCTGAAGAACATTTTTGACAGTCAAAAAACTGCAGAAACAAATTTGTGTGGTAGAAAGCAGGAGCTTTCAGATTTTAAATCTGCATTTCTGGTGCCTCCCACAAAGCCAGGAAACTTTGCAATGAAATCGTGGCACAGTTCCCCTGGGAATATAAGTGGTCAAGATATCAGAGAACATATCAATGATTGCCTTTGTCTGGCAGATAAATTAAGCCAGTCGTGCTCCAAGTTGCCCCTGAAAGAATCAGATTATGTTCATATAAAGGAAAACACAGATTGTTCACAAAATTCCTTAAAAGTTGAAAAAGAGACAAGTATTAAAGGATTATTTCTTAATACTCACTTGGTTTCAAATAAAAACTTACTGATGCAGACAGAAAGCTCCCATTGGACCACCAGTACGAATTTGCACAACAAATCCAAGCTCTGTGGCCTTACAACAAAAAGAGCAGATACATCTGAGTGTCAGTCTTTGGCATTGTCCCAGCTGCCAAATTCCTCAGAAAACAATTCTAAACAGAAGAATATTTCAAATACAGAATGTATATCAGCAGATATCAATGCCAACGGAGTGTTAAGTAAACATCACCTGAAATCAAAGGATGACATAGAAATTAAAGGGTTGTCTCCAAATCACATTAGTTCTGAATCACACATCTGTGATGTTGATGTCCCAGAAAGTTACCTAGATAAATGCAATACAGTAAATAAATATGATAATACTTGTGTTGTTCATGCTTCCATTATTAATACAGATGTGAACAAGGAAAGCAAATGCATCAAAACTCAAAACCCTAAGACTTTTCTTGCAGCAACTGAAATGAGAAGCAAATCTGGGCCAAGTATAGGCTGTGAGAAGGGAGTTGAGATTCTGACATCAAGTGGAAAAGACTTCAGAGGAGAACAAGAGTCAAATATGGGCAGGATATCCAATATATTAAAATATCCTTTGAATCAAGAGAGAACAAACGGGCATCTCAACAATATAGAAAGGAATTGCAATTGTAGTAATGGTGAAGATGTTGATGTCACTGCTTTTGAAGTAGCACTAATGCCACATTGTATCTGCCAAAAGGAAAAATCAGATAATATTTCTGAGTTAAAAGCTCTATTGATTAAAACTCCTGGTCAAGAACGACTGCAAACAAAGGCTGAAGGTGAGAACTCTTTGGCTAAATTTACTGAGATGCTAGAGCATGAAAATTCAAACTCTCATCTCATCACCTTGATGGATGCTACAAAACCAGAAGAATCTCCAAATGTACAGTCCAGTTGCAGGAATGACATTGTATCTGTGCAGGTGATACCATACAATGAAGGTGAATTCCTAGTTAAGATGGCTGCTGAGGAAGGTTCAAGAAACATGCATTGTGAAGCAGATGCAAACATGCTGGATTCACTGTCTTTGCCAATCTCTGCAAAATCTGCAGAAGGTAGTTTGGTGAACAATACACCCACAACTAATTTACCTTTAGAAAGTGCTGTACAAACTTGGAAAGAAGAGGGATGCATAGATATTTTGCCCTTGGAACCACATGCAACAAATATGGACATATCATTGATAAAACCATGTCAGCTGAAGGGTAATTCTGTCTTAGAGACAGTACAAATAGCAAACCACCAATCTGAAACTGGAGGCTATACAGCAATGGATAAGTCTATGACCACAAATGCAGAGCAGGATGCTTGTGTAAATATTGCAAGAAGACAAGAAATGAATAGTGCAAATGTCTTGTGTCAAGACATTGTTGATTATGATGAGACTTATCATCAAGGAAATAAAGTCCATACCAAGCAAATTGTTGAGAAGGAAGACACCAAAATTTGTGATATAATACATGGGGAAATTGCCCTTTCCCCGAAATCAGAATATGCAGAAGATTCAAAGTGCATTAGCAAAAACAATGACAGGAATGCAAATCCAGATATTTGTGACACTTCAATGAAAACTGACAGCCCAGATAATAGCACCAGTAGCCTAGATAATATCAGCATGGGAAGTGCAAATAATGAGGAGGTGGACAATAATCTAATTAACTTTTTTGGTAGTAACAATAGTTTCTATAAGGCAGTACAGAGAATCAACAAAGTGGGTGCCATAGAAAAGTCTGCTAAGCATTCTAAATTTTTAGCTTTTCCCAAGATGGCATCCTTCAGGAAAACTAAGCTAACATCTTCTGAAAATCAAGATAACATGAAAAATAAGGAAGTAACATTAGATAGAGATAAAGCAGATGAAGTAGAAGATAGTTGGAAATACCTCAATTCATCCAGTTCTACTTTGCAAAATAAGGAACATTGTCTTGCAGAATATTCAGATGATGATGATTTATTCTATGAAAGACCTGCTGGACTTTTCAATAGAATTAGCCTGAGAAAAGCTTCCAGCTCTGGTCGGACACTCTTGGAAAGTACAGGCACATATTCTTCTTCTCCCATGTTAGCCAGAGTGAAATATGGGGAAGGAACAATTTTCGGATTTGTAGAGAACAACAATAATGAGTTCCCTGAGTACCCTGAAGTCCAGAAATCTTCACCTGAGAATGACTTTAAAAGTAACAAGAGCACAGACAGCAAAAAATTCCGGAGCCGATTGGCCTTGGCCCACAGATCCCTTTCAAGTTTTTTTGAATCTAAAACTCTGGAGAAGGAAAATGCTCAACAGAGTCCAAGAATTTCATTAAAAAGTGAAAAAGAAAAAGTGAAAATGCACCAAACATCTTGGAAAGCATTTCTGAAGAGCAAGGAGGCAGATAGCCTGAAGCAAAATCCTTGTTCGGACAGGAGCTCTGGAAACTTTGGTAGAAGAACATTGAAGGAAAAAAAGGAGTATCACAACGGACAAGAATTTTTAAGATATAACGTTTCTAATGGCTCATCTACAGAAGGGGGACCTTCTGGCTCCTTTGGGCCTGCTGACTTTCTCCTTATAGACACCAGGAGGAGGAGAAGAGGGTCATCTCATAGCCCGGATTGCAGTGGGAAAGAGAAAATGATGGGGAATGATGGGGATACTTCCTATGAAGAATTCTGGCTGAAATCTCCAATTAGTCCAATTGACCTGCAGTCGTCATTTTCTCATTTCACTCCTTCTTGCCCCCAGTTGTCAATGTATGAACGTAAAGATATGCCATGCAGGCCTATGAGTCCCAAGCCACAAAGTCCTCGAACTGGTCATCAGCGTATAGGCTTCCATTATCCTGGTAAATTAAGTTCAACTTCATTGATATCTCTTGGAAATATCTCTGTTATTGATGGCAGTTTGGAAGCACCCGGGAGGCCAAAGACATTGAAACCCAGATCGAGTTTCTTGCAGTCCATGTACTCATTAGATAATGACTATTTGAGAGAAGACAGTGGAATAAGCAGCCAGTCACAGATCAGCTTAAACACTACTACTTCAATGAGTGATATAATCAGAGATGAGGTGAGTTGCTTTGCAGGAGAGGTGGTGTGAGTTGACACTGAGGGTCTGGAGAGGGATTTATCTTCATTATTTTGTTTCTTACATATCTCAAGTGGAATTCTGGGTTAATTTGGATGTTGTGCTCAACATTTTAAATATTATGTTTTGAAGTAATCTTAGGAACTTGCTCACAAAGACATATGGCATCAGAACTATTCATTTGTGTAAGTTCTCCAGAGAACTTGGAAATAAGATGAGACAATGATTTAAGATTCTGGTTATGAGTCTGCCCAGAAAAAAATATTTAGAACTAACTAGTTTTATTCTCATGTTTCATAAGTATGTGAGGATACAGTATGGGATTGCAGTCACAGGTTTGTCTTCAGAAGTGACCTCCAAAATATGGTGCTTCTCTTCATTTCTAGACAAATTCAGGTTTTTCATTTTAAATACCTGGGTTAAAATTGAATGATGGTAGTTGTCTCTGTCACTGTCTTTTAATGAAGGGGGTGAGGATTTTTATACCTTCAGTATTGAAAGGTGTACTATAGGAGGTCAGATTATGCCAGAACCATGTGTTCAGATCAGCAGGAGCTTTGCAGGATTCAGAGAATGTTCATATCACCTCTTATATTGCTCTCCTATTGAGAAGACAAGGAGATGGTCAGACAGCTGTATTAAAATACTGTCCACTAGTTTTTGAATGGCAGAAAAGTATGCTGGCATAAATTGTTCTGTCTTGATTGCTAAGCCCTATTCTGCCACAATAATGAAGGTGGTGCCTGGTACAGTTCTTTCTGTTTAAGTGTGGGACAAGTTAAGAAAGCAATTGGTGGCTTCCCTGGCTTTAGTTCTCCTCCTGCCAAGTATTGCCTGTGGCAGGAAAGCAGCCACCAATCACTTTTCCTGATGTGTGCTGTGGTGGACTTCCCTGAGCATAGGCAAGTTTTTGGAATGGTGTGTTTAGCCAGCTGTCAAAGTGCCTGGCTAACAGGTTAGGATGTATCAGTCAGGCTGCAGGCACAAGGGAGGGCTGGGGGTTGAAACAGGAGGAATGATAAGGAGCAAGCTCTACCTTCAACTAGTGCTGCAAGGGAACGGCAATGAGTCCACTTCTGTCCTTGTGGCCAACGAACTTGGAAGTAGCCCACAAATGACCACGGGGACAGAACAGAGTAGGCAAAATGGTGCTTCCTGAAAGTAATACAAACCAGGAAAAGTATGGCCAACCCCTTATTAGCAGAAGCAACGCAAAACCTGTAATGCATCCAAGGATGACAGAACCAGCAACGTACAGCTGGCATAACTTGGCTCTCTTTTCCAATTCAAAGTCACCTTCTGTGTAGCACAGGAATAGCATCTGTCAGGAATGCTAATCCTGTTTTTTAAACACAGGTCTAGTGTTCTTCCAAAACAGTGCTAGACCCATATTTATAAGGAGCCTGTATAAGGCTTTGAAAATTGCTGGGCAGGCATTATGCAGACAGATGCCCCCTGCAGAAGCCAAATGTCAGGTCTTTCTGCAACCAAAGCCAAAATGGCCTCTGGAAAGGAATGCCCAGTGACCAGAGTGGACGGGGTCACGTCTGCAGCAGTTTTAAGTGGCCAAGAGTTGCTGGACCGACCCCACTCCTGAACATGTCATCAACCACCTTATTGATGAGGTATCCTGGTAGATCATGTTCACAGCAAAAATTAGATTGGGAGAAGAGGGAAAATATTACTTTAAAACTAGAACAGTTAAAGAAAACTTTAGGTTTCCTCCACTGTGGGCTGGAAATGAGACAAATGCCACCGTATCACTCCAACCAATGATAAAAAAATAAAAATAAAAATAAAAATAGCTGGCTCTTCAGTGCATAAGGCTTAACTGTTTGTACTTTCAAACTTTTTTTTTTCTTCAGAGAAGGATAGTGACAAATACATTCTGTGCTAGGTTTTCTAGGATCGTGATGCCAACTTCTTAGATTCCTAGAGATCCTTGAAATTATAGCAGCCTGTTTCTACATAGTGCAGACTTGGTGTATGTTTATATCAGAAGTTTGTTGAAGTCCTTTCTATAGAGCTTGCATCTGTGAATTCAATTTCTGACTGAAAACAATGCCAGGGAGAGAGGAATATAGCCTAGCTTCTTAGGGGAAGGCAGGATTTCAAAATCAGGGAGGCATGTAAGTGTTTCAACCAAGTTTAGATATGTGGACAAAAATCTTGAAAATGCTGGGAAAGATAATATAATTTCACTGTGCCCTCTGGAGGCAAGGTTTTTATACTGCAAGGAGTTTCTTATAGGCCTTACAACTGCTATCATACAGATAGGCCTTACTTTTTGGCTTGGTTAGGTGTTCTAGAGCAGTGTTTCTCAACCTTGCTGGCTGGGGAATTCTGGGAGTTGAAATCCACACATCTTAAAGTGGCCAAGGTTGAGAAACACTGCTCTAGAGAATGCAAAGGATGCCTAAGGAAATTGCTGAGTATGAACTTTACTAATTATATATTCTTAGCAGCAGCTTCAGGTTTAAGGGATTCTTGGCAAAATGTGTTCTGATGCTTGTCCTTCTAACTGGTTGGTTTACTTGACCAACATGATAGTTAAAATTGCTGTTTAGAATTTTCCAATTCTGTGGAGTAATGCATGTGGGAGGAGCATTTGGAGCATTTGAACTAGGAGCTCACCATAAACACAATATGACAAGTGAACCCTGCCATGGTGCCAGTGCCCCTGGAGCAACTGTTCAAGGGTGTCTCCGCTGGGCACTGGTATGTTTTCCTCAATGTTTATATGAACATGTATCCAGACTTTGCACGAAGTTAATACTGTACAGGTGAGTGCATAACTGGGTTCCATTTAGATTGTAGCATCCACACTGAATCATTAAACAACTTTATTTATAGGACATGGTATAGATGATGTTACTTTAAAGAGGGACAAATGTCACATGATATTCCAGATTTACAATGATTGCTTTGCAGTCAGCTGCCCAAAACGGTCAACAAACGAACATGTTTTAAAGATATTTTCACCTGTTACTTATAAAACAGGAACATTCCCAACAGAGTGAAATCTCCTCAGAAAAGAGGTCAGGTGAAAAGCATGGTCTCCATTACAGAAAGAGGTCCACTCAGATGCCAGCATCTCTGCATTCAAATGTAGAGGACAAGGCCTGGATCCTTCCCTTCTGTGTCCAGGAGGAAAAGATAAAAAAGCATGTCCGGCAGGAGAGGCACAGGTCCCTGTACAAGTGCTTCAGCTTTGATGATACATGGATGGAACGAAATCGGAAAAGGAAGTTTGTGAAAGAGGCACAGTCAGACAGAGAGAATGAATCAAGTAACATCCCAGAAGATCAACTACATGTAAGGAATCAAAGATAATTCGTCTGTCCTCTCTGTTTGCATCTCATCCTTCCCTTTCAAGTGATTCTATTAACTAGTTCTGCTGCTTCCTTTGTTTCTAAAACAGTATGGCAATTATGTTTTTACTGTGACTAACCCATAAAAAGAAAGGTTTATCTTGACAGATAGGTCTTCTTTATTGCCTCTGTTGTCTCATAAGGGATATGTGGTGTCTTATGTACATATAGTACATATGATGGGTGGAATGAAAAGTATTTATATTTTATAATATAAACTACATCAATGCAACTTTTTAAAAACAGTATTAAGTCCTCTCCAGTTATCACAAATGTGTAATATTAAGAGCCTTCTTTTCTTTTTAAAGTCCTTCATAATGACTTCTCCAGCATTTCTGATACCTACAAAGCTCCTTCCACTCTCCTTTAACATTCTGCTTTCCTCTCTTTTATCCAGTTCAAATTGTTTGTATTGAAGACTTTTTTTTTAAACAGGCAACCTTTTTGGAGTTCCAGCTAGCCATTTTTGTAATTTAGTGTTACTACTTTTTTCTGTAGGTTAAAATGAGATCCGTTACTTCTCCAGTGGCCATTGATGCCCTTCCTCTCAAGTTGCACCTCTATTCCCAAAGCACACCTACAGGACTAGACTGTATGGGCTTGAGGCAATGCATCACCTTCCCTGGTATGACCACCTTTATTATTTGACACCTGATAATTCACATTATAATTTGGTTCATTTTGAAATGGTTATATCATTGTATTGTTTTGTGGATGCTAGATACGCCTTTATATTAATATAAGTACGTCTATGTGTTTATATATTTCTTAGTTTTTTTAAACACATATTAATGTTAAATCTTCTACAGAAGATCTAGGCAGAGTGAGGGCCATCAGAATTGGACTGCAATTTTCATAATAATGTTATTTTATTTATGCAAACCTGAAAAAAAAAACGCATTAGTCAAATTGAAGCAACGTGTATTGTTTAATGAATAGCACAGAAGCACTGTGTTCACAGCCCTAGTATATATTACCTTTTGTCCAGTCTCTGATCTTCCCTTTTTAGGGAAGGTTGTTTAGAAGGTGGTAGGCACTCCAAAAGGCCCAGGAAGAAGTGGATTATCTGGATCTTTTTCAGTTGGGATTCAGGCCAGATTACAGCAGTGAATCAGCATTGGTTGTGCTTGTGGATGACCTCTGGAGGGCACAGGATAGGGGTGCATCCATCCTGGCCCTCCTGGATCTCTTGGTGGCTTTCAGTACAATTGACTAGGGTATCCTTCTGGATCAGCTTAGGCACTTCTCTGTAGCTGGTTCCAGTTGGAGGTAGTGGTGTGGAGAGAACTAGCCCTAGGCGTGAGGTCAGCCGGTGGCATGGGTCCTGTATCATCAATACACTATTGTTACTGTTATACAATGCTGCCCCAGGCTAGACAAATGATGCCATTCAGTTGCTTTCCCAGTGCTTGGAGGCTCTGAGGGTTTGGCTTGGGAGCGGCTGTGACTTAACCCAGGCAAGATGGAGTGGCTCTGGGTTTTGGGATCCTGTGTATATAAAGAGTTGCCATGTTTAACTCTCAGTGGGTTATCACCTTGAAAGCACTGTATGGTATAGGGCGAGACTACCTCTCCCTGAGGACATCTATCTGCCCCACTAGATTGGATAGCGCAGGCTTCCTTCAGGTCCCTCTATTACAGTAAATGTTGCCATTGGCGGGACCTAGGAAGCGAGCATTTTCTGTAGCTGCACCTCCCCTCTGGAACAGTTCCCCCCGATATATGGAGAGCCCCTACCCTTTTTGCTTCCCAAAAGGCTGTTAAGACCTGGCTCTTCCCTTAGATGTTGGATTAGGATGGGAGGTGAGCCCAGCATTTTTTTTTTTTTGAGCTGCTAATGTTATAGCCCTGGTGATGCATTAGACTTTTTGCTTCCCAAAAGGCTGTTAAGACCTGGCTCTTCCCTTAGATGTTGGATTAGGATGGGAGGTGAGCCCAGCATTTTTTTTTTTTTGAGCTGCTAATGTTATAGCCCTGGTGATGCATTAGAGTTTTAATCTTGTGTTTTTACTATTTGTGTATTTGTTTGTTAGTCACCTAGGGTTGTTTTATATGATATAGGTGGCTATATAACCTTTTCAAACCAACCAACCAACCAACCAACCAGGTGGTATAATTACTTCCTACTGGCCACATAAACTAGCTTTCATGGAAGCAGGTGTTCAACAACACTGTTCCTGTTTTACAGCTGTGGGGACTGAGATGTGGAATGGTTTCCTCAGTATCTCTTGGCTATGTGTTTGTGGGTGTGCTTGTATTGATCTATTTCACCGAGATCTTAGGGTGACATGATCAGCTTGTCTGTTTCAAGAGACACTACTGGTATTAAGTTAATTAGTTTTGGCACAAAATAAAGTGGAAGGACTGTAGGTGGCAGACAAGGGTTTTGCTAAACTGATGGCTTTTTATTAAAGGGTTTGATGGTCTCTGGATTTTGTCTCTTCTGGAAGGCTTTATATTTGAAAGAAGCGTATGGCATTGGCTTCAAAGGGATCATGCAGAGTTTGTTCTGTGGCTCCATTTTCTTTTCAAGGGTCTTAACAAACTGTTTTCTAATGCCTTCCATTCCACATATAAGTATAATCCTGTTGCTTTATAAGTTAAAAGCATTGCTCACAAAAATGGCTTCTTTTAATTTAAATATAGTTATGATTTTTGTGCTCTGATACTTTTAAGTGCTTATTGAAAATTAGAATGCAGGAAAAATCAGTTAAATTTCTTCAGCAGAGGATAATAATAAGCAGGTTTAAATGAAAACTAAGAAATCCATTTCTTAATTTCCCCAACACAGAGACGGTTCCTTCACTAAATCTCAAGGATGTCTAAAGATGTTCAAAGGTACTGCTTGGACATCTACCCTAAAGAATAACTGCTGCTGATAGTAATGTCAGATTGCTTCATCACTGACATTGCTGATGAACTACTTCTAGCTTGCTGGCTTTTAAAATATGATTGTGTTTATTAAAACGAACATGTAGGAAATTCATGTGACTGCTGAAGGTATCTCTTTTACCTTCTCTTTTACTTTTCCAGCTGCTTCAATTAATTACGATTCTCTCAATCTTCTGTTACCATTAGTTTGAGGCTGTTTATTGTTTAAACAAAAACAATAGAAACATATTTAATAGGACAAAAAGATTGGCCAATGGGAGGTGCCCCGAGTTTAAGGAAATTTTAGATATTTTTCCTGGAAAGGAAACCACTTAGTACTCATGGAAGAAAGCTATATATCAAACTATATGGTAGCTGTTACTGTTATGCAGTGTTACCAGTGCTTCTTTTGCATGCAACTGTGTTTGTATTTGTTGAAACCATTATGCTGTTTCATTGCCTTCATCTCAGCTTTAACTTGAAAAAAATTAAGATAGGCATAACGATAATAATTTATTAAACTTGATGCTGCCCAACTCTCAATGACGCTGGGGCTCACAACAATCAAAGAAAGAAATTACAATAAAATCAATACAAAATAAACATTAAAGATGAAAGATGGCAAGCTGGATGAAGCGAGGGGTCTTATTCTGCCTTGCTGAAGGCCTGGGTGAAGAGCCACTGTTAGTAGCACTGTTAATGCAAGACAATAGGTTAGGCCTGTACCACTTTCTGCTTAGGAACACTGTCCTGATGTGGATCCCTGGATCCTTAAAGTTGCCAAGTTTGAAAAGCACTGGTTTAAACAGACATAGGCTTGGGGTGTAAATGGTTTAGGATAGAATACATGGAAAAACAGGGCAGGCATTAGGAACTGATACAATTAATGGAAGATCAGCAGGAAGATTAGGCATGTGAGGAGGTCATTTCTGGAATTCTCCATGTAACCAGTAGAAAATCTAAAGCACTATTTAAAAAAATCAGGCTCCCAAGGACCAAGAAGGAAGGACAAGACGTAGTGCCAGTAAGAATAAATACTGTACTTTCAAATTTCATTTTGTTTATGCAGGATCAAAGTATTCGGATCTTTCCAAACTGTCAAAATAATGTACAGTGGGCCTTTTTATTTTGGGTGATTCAGAAGTTTTTCTTAAGGGAGATAAAGAGATCACATTTCCTCATCATTAAACTGCAATATTTTGTCACTGGGAAACAGTTGTATTTTATTGATTTTCTCTCAGTTGGCAAATCAACTGCAGTTACTGCTGCAGAATGGAAAGCAATTGTAAATTATAATTAAATACTGCTTGTGTGATTTCACCAGTGAGGATTACAGAACTGTTCCTCCCTCTCACACATCTGTCCCATTTAATTGAACCATTCTTTAGAAGCGGTGTCTTGATGTAGCATTCAAGCAGGTATCTCTTCATATGATCCTTAAAATAAGGAAGAAAATACTGGAAATACATTTTCCTGTGCTTGCAACAATGCCCTGCAGTGCTGTAGTCCTTTTCAGTTGTTAAAAAAAATAAAGGGGGTATGTGCTCTTCATGGACTATTGTCTCATCCTCATGTTCTCCAAAAATTATCCTGTAGGGTTTTAAGACTCAGGTATGGAACCAATTGCCAGCTCCAAAAATGATTTTTTTGTCTGTGTGTAGAAAAGGAATGTGAGTAATTTTGGAAAGAGGGAAAAGAAGAATGCCATTTCTCTTTTCCTTCTTTCTGAAACACGCCTGTATCATGCAGGGATTTTTTTTCCCCATAATTTTAAGGCAGGTAGCCTTCTAATCTCATCCATTCCAGTATTTATTTTAAACAGCAAGAAGCTTGAGTTAGCTAATGCCCTCTAATGTCTTCTCTCTGGTTTCTGTTCTTATAATGTTGTTGTTACAGCAACTTGGAAGTTTTAAAAATGTTTTTTTATTTGATTTACAAATAACAGTTGTTATTTACAAATTTGATGTACAAATTGACACTCTGCTACATAAATTCATATCATTTCCAAACTGATACGTATTTTCTACCCAAGGTTTTCTTTTTTTGAGTGGACTATTCTTGAAGTCTTGAGAAAATAAATATGCAATATTTTTATGCAGTCTGACTTGGAATGTATTGAAAAGAGAAAAAAGCTGCTTTCAAATTGCTGGATGAAGCCAAAATCATTTTTATTTTTCAGATTTAGGTTACAAAGAATGACAATGCCGATATTGTTTTCATTCTGAACTGTCTAAAACATTAAGAGCTGACCAATGCTACCAACAGAGGATATATTTTTGAAATTCCAGGATATCAATGCAGAGTTGAATTTTAAGAATTACATGGTTGCAAGATGATCAGTGCATCATATTGCATGGTGCAGTCACGAACATTTCACATTCCAGATGCTACTTTTTCTCCAATGTGATGCCTTCCAGATGCATTAGATTACACGCTCAGAATCCCCAGACAACAAGGATGAATCCAGCCTTTATAATCTCAGTCCACCTGGAAAATACCAGCATGGGGAAAGACTGTGACATGATCACATTATTTATGTGCGCTATTTTTTTTCAAAGACTTCATCTTATCCACATTCAAAGCTGCTAGCAGTACAGCCAAAATATCATCTTTTCCCAAATAATCTTAAAATAGCATGAGACATTCTAGTCTTCTTTTCTTCTTTATCAAACTTTTTTTTAAAAAAAACAATTTTAATGCATTTCAAACATTAAAGCACCATGGATCTAAGCTAACAACATAAAATTACAATAT